CTGAAGGGGAGCCTGCTGGCAGATCCCTGAGGGCTGGAAATCAAAGGTAACAAGTGTGAGGTCCCAGCTAGTGCCCCTGTTAGACCTTTGCACCCAGCTCACCTGGGCTGCAGTACTGCAAGAGGTAGCCTCCATGAGCACCTCCTTTTCCAGCTCCTCCTGCACAGCAGTGGCCAGAATGGGAACCCTGTGGGGAGATCATGCTGTAAGCTCCCAGGGCTTTGGCCACCTCTCCTGCTTGGGTCACACACAACCAGCCCTTCCTGAGGCTTCTGCCTTGCTCCTCCAGGGACGGACTGTCATGCTGAACGGAGCAAGGACACACATTTCAAGCACAGAACTGTTGTGCCACCTCAGGACACCTCAGTGCCCCTTCCCAAGTCCCAAGCTTGGAAGCATGGAGGTCTCTATGGGGCTAAGAAAAGCCATTGCAGACCTCCCCATCGTGATGAGCAGCTGCCAAAGGGAAAAGTTGAGACTGGGCACCACTCCAGCTGGGTTCCAGCCCTCCTGAGGGCTGGCCAGGGGCTGGGGCTGAGCCGGGCCTTACAGGTGGTGCTCGGTGTTGGGCCCGAAGTTCTCATTGATGTTGCGCTGCAGATGGATAGCCAGGTGGGGAATGCGGAGGACAGGCTGCTCCACACGTACCAGGCGCTGCTCCAGGCGCCCCGTGGCCGGGTCCTGAAACACAAAGAGGACTGCTGGGGCCAGGCCTGCATGGCTGAGAGGCTGTGCTAGATCCCGCTCTGGCTAGAAGTCATTGGCTCACCTTTATGATCACCCTCCCGGCCACGGTTAGGTCACGGTCAAACCAGGTGTTCCAGATGCCCCCTCCATAGGTCTCCACGCCAACCTGCACCATGCCCACCTGCCCCCGCTTAGAGCGCCGCTTCACCTGGGCAAGAGCAGAGGTGTCACTGCTGGCACTGCAAAGCCCCAGGGACTGGGCAGAGCACACCCAGGGTCTCATCGCTGATCCCGTCAGTGCAGGGTGCTGTGAGATGCTCTGTGGGCCATGGGACACAGAGGCACTAACAGCAGGTGGAGCAATGCAGGGGGTCAGCATGGGCTGCTCTGGGTGGCAGATGTGGGAGGTGGAGGGATCCAGCAACAGTGCTGTGGGGCACAGGGTGAGTCAGGGTACTTTTTTCTTGTGGATCGAAACTGGAGGGCACCAGAGAAGACCTTAGGCCCGGGGAAGGGCACCTGGCTGGCTGGCCTTACCCTGAGGCAGGGGCTGTCGGTGTGGGCGCCCAGCAGGCTGAACCCATTCCCGGGCTGGAACTGGCCGCCGACTGCGAAGGCGATGAGGGTGGAATAGTTCCTGGTGACGAAGTACTGAGGGCAGAGAGTGG